TCTCTTGCATCCAGTAATGGAGGCGGGGGGTGGGGGGAGGGGGACCAAGTCCCGGTGCTGAATAAAAGACTCTATGCTTTTGCATCGGACTCGGCTCCCTAGTGGTCTGTCTTGGGAGATCTTGAAATCTGGGCATAACACCAGGTGAACTTGGGTGAGTTTTCTCTTGGACCCAGAACCTTCCCTTCCTTTGGTCAAAGGTCAGACTTTATTTGAGCTGTGTTCTAAAATCCTCGAGGTGGAACTAAAGGTTTAGGGTTAATAGAACCCAGACTAAGGCAGGAGGAAAAAACGCGTGGCATTGATTCATTTTCCTGTGTTGGAGTCAACCTTATATTCCTGGGATAAATTTCACTTAGTCATGGTGTATAATTCTTTTTTATACTTGTTAATATTTTGAGTATTTTTGTCTCTATATTTCTAAGGGATATTGGTCTATAGTTTATTGTAATGTGGCCTCAGAAAATGAGTTGGGAAGTGTTCTTTCCTCTTCTGTTTTTTGGAACAATCTGTGAAGGATTGGTATTAATTCTTCTTTACATTTTTGGTAGACTTCACCAACCAGTCATGCCATCTGGCCTTAGGCTTCTCTTTGTGGGAAAGTTTTTGATAATTAATTCAATCTGCTTACTTGTTATAGGTTTACTCATATTGTTTAAATCTTCCTCACTCATATCAGTACTTTGTGTCTTTCTAGGAAGTTGTCTGTTCATCTACGTTATATAATTTGATGACACAATTTTTTTAGTATCTCTTTATAATCTATTTCTTTAACATCAGTAATAATGTCCCCTCTTTAATTCCTAATTTTAGTAATTTGAGCTAAAAGTTTGTCATTTGAACCTATTTTCAAAGAATCAACTTTAGTTTCATTATTTTTTTCTATTAATTTTCTATTCTTTTTATTTATTCCCAGTCTAATCGTTGTTTCCTTCCTTCTGCTTGCTTTGGGTTTTGCTGGCTTCTTTTTCTAGTTTCTTAAGGTTGAAGGTTAGTGTATTGATTTTAGATCTTTCTTTTTTAATATAGGCAGTTAGACTGCAGTTTTATGTTCTTGTGGTGTGTTTGTTTGGCTCTGTTATCGGGATAATAGTGTCATAGAATGAATTAGGAGGGTTTCTTTCCTTTGTTTTATGAAAGTCTGTGAAATGTTAGTATTATTTTGTAGCATTTACCTATGAAGCTCTTGCAACTTTTCCTTGTAGGAAGATTTTTGAATTAGCAATTCAATTTCTTTACTTGTTTTAAGGTCTATTCCATTTTCGCATTTCTTCTAAAGTCAGTTTTAGTCATTTATGTCTCTTTTTTTGAGAAAATAGAAAAGTTTTATTATAGTAACAATAAGCAAACAATTGAAGTGGGAAGGGGAAGCAGTGTGGGGATGACCCACCCAGCAGTAAGTACTCAAGGTGTGGGGTGATGGAGGGCGGTGGCAACAGTTAATTTCACAAGAAAAGGAGAGAACTAGTTATTCAGAAAAGTGGTTACCTTGAGGTTGCTCAAAGACTTTCTACAGAAACATCTGAATACACTGAACATTGTTCTCTTAGCTGTTGAATCTCTGTCTTTTACTCTTTCTGGCATTTCACTTAGTTGAGTTCTGAGAAATCTGTTTTTCAGACAACTCTTTTTTCTTGAGTGGGCAGATGATAAAGAACTATTTCAGTCCTTCTAAAGAATGTAATTCAACGAATTTATGTTCATTTAGAAAGAATTCTATAAGCATTTCTAGCTATCCATTACCTAATGCAAATAATTGATTTCTTTAACCACATGGGTAAAAAGATCATTGTCATCCCTAAAACAAAAATGTGGAGTAGAATCCACCGTTGGAGATTATGTGCCAATCTAGAAATACTCTACAGAATCATTGTCTTTTGGTCTCCTGTATTCCCTTTCTCTGTCTCTAAGAAAGAGTTCAAAAGATAGGGAGCATCTATACTTTCTACTTTGGAATTTTGTCTCATCCCTGTTAAATAAATCAAACAGATATCTACCAATTGCAATAAGAAACTTTACTAAACACCCCAGTCCTGAGAATTTGAGAAACAAAAACAGAGAACTCTGACTTTGATGAATCAGTTACATGGTGAAGGAACACTTGAAAATATGCGGGAAATAGATTTTCAAAAAGCTTAATCTTCCTTGAATAGAAATGATAAAACAGACAAAAAGATCTTCAATATGCTCAAGATTGTGTTAACTATGTCTTGCTCACTCTCAACTTCATCTCTGGCTCCTTCCAGCCTTTTTCGATGGAAAATCTCCCTTTCTGCCCATTCCCTCTCCATTTCTGCCTTTCTCTTTTCTTGCTCCAGTTTAGACTCTAGCTTTCTATATTTTTCTTCATATTCCTCTCTTAACTGCCTTTTCTCTCTCTCCAGCTCACTTCTGTATTTTTCTTGTTTCACTTGAATCTGTTTCTGAATCTCCACCTCCACCTTTTGGTACATCTTATTAGTGTAGCATCCTCCCTTGTTTTGCTTCACCATGTGCTGGACCAGTTCCAACAGCTGTGCCCTTTGAGCCTCCTGCTCAGCCCCTGTCGCCTTATTGTTGAACTCACAGTGACGACCCCTGAACTGCTCCATCAGATCTTGAATGCCTTTTGGAGCTTCCTTTAAGTAATCATGGAACTCCATGCCATCCAAGTCATCTTTCCGGGTGAATAAGAGAATCATGTATCTCCTAGCTTTGGATCCAAACATTGACAGCATCTTCTCCACTGCCTTTTGTTCTTCCTTTGTGTACGGGCCCAGCCTGACTACCAGGAGCACAGCGTGAGGGCCAGGGGAAGTCAGGA